TACATAAATTGGGATCAACGACAACAAAGTCCAGTTCAACGCCATTAAATTTGAAAGCTGATGATGTTTCCTTGCAACGACAACAAATTAAATCTGATTTACTTCGTTCTTCAAATATATTGTAAGATTAATAAAGCATGAAATTTAAATTTGGTTAAATGTATAAGTCTAACATTAATAGTTTTTTTGAAAATTCATTTTCAATCATGTTTTTTTTATTAAAGAAAGGGACCATTTCTTTTACAAATTTAATAATATAAAATTGGTAACATAACATAATGTAAATGAATGTTTTAAATTTGATAAAATAAATATTGAGTAGATTTTAGTATTATTTAAATCTAAAAAATATTATGAATAATTAGTTTAGAAGGGTTAATGAAAAACTATAGAGTAATGGATAGAGTATGTCTCAAATTTTCTCGATATATATTTTTTCTAAATAGAATATCAAGGTCAAGAGTTAGGAGTGGAAGACCGAAAAGTTCGAGAACGAAATCGGAAAGTGAAGAGGAAAGTGGGGAGGAAATATATGAAAATTTCTCATCATTACCTGAAGAAATTACCGTTAATGATTTGGTCAATTTCATTCTTTTTTTTTTTGCTCTCATAAGATTATTTGCTGAATGCCTTATATGATTATTCATTGTACAATTAAACATCAAACATAAAAGATTGACAGAAGGAAAAATTGTATGTTAAAAATTTTTTCGAATCAAAATTATAAGTGTCTCTTTGATGCATCCGTTAACAATTATCTCATTCAAACTTTCTTCTAGAAATGATTGATATTTTAAGCTTCATCTGTCAAGTTACTGAATTTTTCAAATTGACAACCAATAGAAATTAATTCTCCCTAAATCATTTAAGGTGGATGATTGGATTGATGGTATGCTCAACAAAGGTATAAAAGGTTTAAACGATGAATTCTGGGAATTATGTGCCAAAACGAAACCATCACCGGACAATTATACCACTTTTACGGCTAATCAAAATTCCAGTAAAAAGAAAATGCATCTTTCGTATTTTATTGTTTAAAAAAAAAATGTCGCACGTGAATTATAAATTTTAATAGATTATTTGAGCTGGAAAAGTGAATTGAATTTTAACACATCATGTTCATCTGATTTAATTTGTAGATTCTTAAGGCTCTAATTGATTTTATTCGTATTTTAATCCTTAACTTGATCATAATTGCAATTCGAAAAACCAAAAATTTTTCAAAATTCTTCAATTTTCCGAATTTTTCAAGTATGAAAAATATTGCTAAGGTCGGAATCGTTATCAGAATGTTGTTTGCTTGGATAATTCACGTGTAAAACTTATCAATCATCCAACCCATAACGATTATATTCACGCCAATTATGTCAGCACACCTTTTTCTGAACGGCGTTTCATCTGTACTCAGGTCGTTCTGTCTTTGTTTTCTTCAATGAAATAATAATGTAGAAAAAAAAAATTAAATTCAAGCTTTATTTAAAATATGCTGCAAATTTGACATTAATTTTAAATTTACGAATTTTAGAATTGATTTATCAATAATAGACAATATAAAAAGACGAGAAATATTGATGAAATTTGTACGGATTTAAAGATTAGAAAATAAAATTTTTGATTAGTGCTCAGCTGAATGAAAAATGATTTCAAAGTATAAAATTTTAGGCTCCCTTGAATTGTACTATTTATGATTTTTGGTTTATGATTATACAAGAAAAAGTAAAATACATCGTTATGCTGACAAATTTTATTGAGAAAGGTTACATTAAATCGGCGTCATATTTTCCAACTGAAGCTAATAAAATTCACAACTACAATGATATCACGGTGAAATGCCTTACAGTAAGCTTGAAACTTTGAAAATTTCAATAAATATAAATTTTATTTAATGATCTTATTTCTCTGCTTTTCATCAAATAACTTTTTTCTTTTTCTTTATTTGTCATTTCACTTTTTTATCAATTATTTGTCAAATATTTTCCAACATATTTATGAGAAATTTCAGTGCGAACGTCGTATGGATTTTGAATGTGAAGTGTGGGAGCGATCATTGATGATCGAACAGTCAGGCATGAAATCGATGATTGTGATACATTTCCATTGGACTGATTGGCCTGATCGTGGTATACCTAATAGTTATTCGTGTCCTTTACAACTTCTTGAATTGGTAATTTCTTAAAGCATTTCCTTTGCATTATTGTTTTTTGTAGTAAATTAAAAAATTTTTAAATGATGAAGCCATTAAAAGTAAAATCCTAGCGCATATGAAAAATGAGCAATTGACTTTTATTTTATTTTTTATTAATCAAATCTAAAAAAATTTTGAATTTGAAATTAAAAGTTTATAATTGCTATATGTATTTTCTTGAAAATTCATTTTATACTGCAAAAAAAACCACTCTTTATTGCTCATCTTCTTCACATTAAAAAAAAAAAAAAAACTGTGAACAAACTGTACTGTTAAATAAATAGTAAAGTTTGAAATTTAATTTGTTAATTTGATTAATAGGTAAGAATATCATCAGTGCCAATAATATTACACTGTTCTGCTGGTATTGGACGTACCGGTTGTCTAGTACTCATCGAGTTGGTTCTCGAGAAATTATTGTACAAGCAAATTTTCTCTAATATGGGTTTCATGCTTACTGAATTACGAAAACAACGTGCTAATTTGATTCAGAATAATATTGTACGTGCATTTTAATCATATAATATTTTACTTGTCACATTTGTAAAACTATTTTTAAAAAAAGAATATGTTATTATAATTAACGTATTTATATGAAGTAAAACAAAAAGTTTTTTTTTGTATTATTTCTTCTTTTAAACAAAAAAATTTTTTAAATATATTTATGTTAAATATTTGCCTCCTTGGTATACTGTAATTTTAGCAAATTTAATTTCGTTTTAAATCAAATATTTAAAGGTCTTTTCTGTTTCTTTTTCTGATTTTTTTGAAATGGAAAAAAACAAATTTTCTAGCATTTATTGAGTAATTTAATAATGCAATGGATAGTTACTTATATGTAAATGTATTATTCTTACAGCAATACCTTTACGTGCATCGTACTTTGCTACACTGTTTTGCATTAAATCGATTTATCAAAAAAATGGATGAAGTGCGCGAATTTATCAAAGATTATAATCAGTTCGTATTTGCTGGGCCTAATGCGAAATGAATTTTTCGCTTCGTTTGCTTCAAGTACTTTAATAATTTTTTAGAATTTTTATAATTATTGGTAATTTTTATAGTAATTGATGAAATTATCCAAACAAATTTTAAGTCCCGCCAAAAAAGAGCTTCAAGCTCAAGTTAAGTTGAAAGCAAAAATTTTAAGTTTATAAGTTAATATAGTATTTGCAAGTATTTGAATGCGTTAAAAAGTTTGTCGCTAAATTTTAAAGGATTATGCGTATTTCAAATTATATTTGCTTGATCATGAAATTTTATTACATTTCATTTCAGCTAATATCAAAGTCTATGCGTGTCGATGTTAGCAATAATTGAAATAATTAACTGCAAATTTTGTAATTTTATATCGTGAATAAATAAAAGCAAACAGACTTATAATGCCTACACGCTGTGCTATTTTTAAATTATTTAATAAACAAAATTTTGTTTGATAAATGAAAATACTAATTTTAAATAACATAACTTCTTCCAACAAATGATAACTGTTTTAATCATATATTAGAAGAATTTATTTTACAAATTGTAAAAAATTGTTATCATAGGGAAATGATAAGTCTTAATATATTTATACATGAAGTTACGTCACTTTCTCTACTACATTAATTATTCGATCTAATGAATGCAACGAGGATAATGACATCTGTGATTTTAAGGCTCATTTAGGTGTGTGTAGCACTGATAATGCTGATAATGATATCTGTGATATTAAGGCTTTTTATGTATAGTACATGCAAGAAATGGTATGAAAAACGAATGTGCAATGATATGAAAAGATGTTCATCAAACGATAATATCGCATCGATTTCCTTCATTTACATATATTTCTGAGAAATATATATCATCAGATTCCTGTTAATTAATTATTTAAGCAACAGTGAAAAGAAGTACTAATTTTAAAATCTTCAGGCAAAATAATTGGTTGGCTAAATTTGAAATTCAAAATCACAAAGTTTCCTTCAATTTCAGTTACATCATTTTCTTCCTTCCATTATTTCATCTAAATCACTCCCAAAGATCGTTCTCTTTGTCAGTAAGGACTGAAAATCTTTGTCAACAAAGACTCGATTGTGTAGAGAATACATTTTGATGAATTAAACATATGTTTGATTTGATTTTATCGGTAAACTATTATCAGAAAAAGCTTTCCGAAAAAAAAACATTTTTTGAATTCTAAAAAAAGTTTTAAGAAACTAAGAGAAATATGCTGGCACGATATATCAGTGTAAATTATCTTTGAGAGCAATTAAATAATTATTATCATTGAAAGGCATGAAGTATTAAATGCAAGCAAAAAAATAAAAAGAAACCAACTTTTAAACTTGTAAAAGTTTGATCACAAAGGCAAAGTTAAACTTTTTTTTTCAAGCGAAATGGTTTTTAAAAATTTAAAAGATTAGTCGAAATATTCATCAATTTACTAACTCGATAATTTATTGGCATTCATTTTTTTCTATAAAGCAGCTTGCAATAGTCAAGAAAGTTAGCATTTAACTTACAATTCGGGTTATTCATTTCATTTATAAAAGGATCGAAAAGTAATAAAAAATAAAATACTTTATTAATCCACTTTTGTTTATTTTCTCCATTCTTTTTTTCCTTAAAAATTTGTTTACTGGAATGAAAAAAAATTAATCCACAAAAGGATCTTTCGTGTTTGCTTTTCCCAAATTTCTCAGAAATGGATATTTTTAATTCTCTTCGAATTTTTTTAAATCCACAGGTATACTAATTAATAATCAGAAGTATACATTGCTAGTTAATAATGCACTAATTAATAATTAAAAGCACAACTTTTTTTTACTCATCCAATCATTTACAATATAAATAAATTATTACAATAATGGTATTTGAATTCATTTTTTTTTGCTTATTAATTCAAGTAAAAAAAGAACATGAAAAAGGAGATGGCAGTATGAATTTGTTAATTATTTCATTTAAAATGAAATAAATAATTGATTAGTTTTTATTGAGATAGCATTTTTTAAATGAATTTTCGTGATGAGCGGCATAATATTTATACTTTTGCTGAGAACATTTGCGGTGTCGCAATATTTAATTACGACATGTTTACCAATTCTCAGTACCATAATATGGGTGTCGTTTGAATGTTCACGTAAAAAAATTGAATTAACCCCAGCTGTACCACTTGTTAAAGGACAAAAACATTTAAAAATGGTCAGCTAAAAATTACAAAACTCTAACCATAGTTATTATATAATTAATTGAGTAAATCGATTCAATATATTGCTCAAAAATTACCTGTTTTTTTTTTCTTTAAACAAGTTGGAATTATATAAATTAGTTGTATTCGAACTATTTATGAAAATTCAGATTAAAAACTAAAAAAATCGATGAAATTTTCTTCTTTTAAATAGAAAGAGAAATATATAATACAAAAAAGTCCTTATCCACTTTTTTTTTTAGGATGAAACGCAACAAAGTAAAAGTTCCCAAACTAAACCACCAAGGATGAAGGCAACATTAAAACGATTAGAAATTGCACTTCCAAGAGGTCAGTCGTCAGTCAATAGCCAATCTCCAATGTTTAATTTAATTTTTTCAAAAATTTTCAAAACAAAAAATTTATAGAGTGAAAAATTTGTACTACTTCATATTAGTCATAAAATTAGAATTATTTGGAAAGATAAATAATAGTAAGAACAATATTTACAAAAAATTTCTAACTTACAAATTTTATTTTCTCTTCAATTTGATAAGTTAGAAAATTTGAAGTAAATTAATTACAGAGCAAAGTGAAGCGAAGCCTATAGCAGCATCTCTAAAATGTGGCCGAACGCAACCTTCTCACACAATACCAGTAAATTTTTATCCTTTTTTATCTGATATCTAATAAATTTACAGTAACATAATATTAAACATTACCTATGAGACGCCTATGACATCATGCTTAAGATATTTTAATACCACGTCCAAGCTCTGTGTGATAACATCATATAAGTAAAGCGATCTTTTTCTCTCATTTTTAAACAAATTACATTTCTTTAGCTTTTTTACTAAATAAAATGCATGAATGAAGGTGAAATCATCGAAATTATGCAACTATTGCTAATGCGTGAGAGTTAGGAAAAAAATGACGTTGATACGTGAGAATCAGGAAAAAATGATGCTAATGCATGAGAATTTGGAAGGAAATTATATATGCAAATCATTTTTCGTCATTTTTTTTTGGTTAACATATAGTGACACTAAATTGCAACTTATAAAATTTGACACACTCTCATTAAGCCGCTACCATCAGTTAATTCAGATTAAATTTATTGAGGCATTAAGTCACTTCAAGTTGTTAGATCCGACAAGAGAACGAACAAAAAAAAACGAAATTATTTTTAATTAATTTATCAGTTTTAAAATTCTTCAAACTACATAAATCCAATTTGAATTAATTTCGTTTTATCGCTCATGTTTGATTACAGATTTTACCATCGGATGATACAACAAAACATGTAGAATCATTACCGGAAAGTTCAGCATAAAAATACAAAATTCAATTGCAAAAGATGTCCATTTGTCATCTCTATCTAATAATGATAATTATCTGTGCAGTGATAACAATTATCTGATAAAAATTTTATTTATTAATTTAAATGCCACACTTTGTCCATTTATTTAAATTACCTGATAAAAATTTATTCATTAATTTAATTTAACTTAAATGATGCAAAGTTTGTCACTGGAGCTGTTAATTAAATAACTGTTAAAGCTGTTAATTCATCTTTATTGATTAAAATTTGGAATAATAGCGTCACAGCCTTCGAAAATTCTGTTTTAAATTAAGATTAAGTGAAGACCGTTGGGATGAAAATAATGAAAAATATTAACAATACGAATTAAATTCAATTTTAGGGGCAAAAATAGCGGTAGTAAAAATGGAAGTTGAACTGGTTTATACATTTATTGATGACAAATATATTTTATGAATCAAGAAACACCTTTGTGTCGTTAATTTCAAACCGTAAATGATACTAACTTTAATTTTATTAATTGAATTTAAAGTTACGCGTTGTTATCTTTTTTACAAGTAAATGAAACTAAATGTTTGACACAAGGTTTGTATCAGACTTTTTTAATATTTCAAAAATAAATCAAAAAGCGATTTAATATATAGCAAAATGAACAATTGAAAGAATCGATTTTAATTTGAGCCGAAAATGAAAAGGATGATAAAAGTGGAGTAGCAGAGTATTTAAGTTTTATAGAGGAATTCTCATTTTAAATTTCAATTTTAATTCTGAGCTTTACTTAAAATCTTCTGCACTCATCTATTAATGACATTATTAACTTAGATGAAAGGAATTGATCAAAGTATGAAATCGGTGCAACTCAGATAATTCAAAATGTTTTTCAAATATTTTTTCACATTCTAATTTCAGCTACAAAATTTTCCGAAGTAATTCGGAGCTGAAATTAAAATTCGAATATATAGTCTAAAGGAAAGAAATGAAATTAAAGGATGAAATTTTGTTGCACTTTCGATTAAATTGATGAGACACGAAGAGGAATACATGCATTGAAATCAATTTAATCGATTGCATTTATTACATATATTGAACAGTAATTGCGCTTTACTTGCACTATTCAAAAAATGTTAGAGAAGAAAATGAAATTTTATGTTTCAAATTTTTGTGAGTTATTAAAATCGTTTGTAATTCGAAGAAAAAAACTTTTAAAATTTCAATTGTTTAATAATACAATATTTTTACATTTATAGGAATAATTCTTTACTTAGTGAGATTGACTTTTTGTATTGAAATTATTACAAGATGAAGGAAGGAAATAAAGCAACATTTGTCGGAAATTCGAAATTAGTCCATAATATAAAATTATCAAATCATGAGAAATATTTCTCAGTAAAATACATAAATTTATTCTGACAATTAAACTGAGGAAGTCGCATTTCACAAAATTGTCATTGTTAAATTTGTATTTCTTTGTGTTGCTATAATTCATTGGGAGATTGCCTTATAATGCTTTTGTCCTTTAATTGTCCTTTGCAATTATGTGAAACCAATGTGGCTAATAAGTAATCGAACAATGACCTTTGTCCTCATGGCTTCTTCCTTCCCCAACATGACATTGTCTGACCCCGGGGTTACCTATTAAGCCCATCATCTTTTATCAGATGCCGCCCAATATTGAGCATATAAACAGTCAAATCTATCAGGACAGGGGCCACCTTTCCATCCATTTCATTCTTGAAACTGTCATCAAATCAGCTGCTAAATTTCATCATTATTACCTCCGATAGCACTATCCGCAGTCAACTTCAGCATTATCAGTATTGTCGCCAA